TTACAACTAAATGAGTGAGTTTCTTATTGATAATATTCTTCATATTTCTCTAACAAACATATCCCTTACGTCCTTTAACACGATTGTTATTTATTAAATTAGCTTTGCGAATCATTCGTTGAACTGTGTTCGGACACAGAATTATTTAAATTAAAATATCATTTACGTACTATGTTAATCTTCACTGTACACCTTGCTTAAAAATTTCATATGTTACACACAAGGTGTCATGCACACCAGAAAATTGAAACGGCTGTCACGGTTAAACTACATATTATTTTGAGTCCGAAACTCGGTTCGAGTCCGTTCCGACCTTCTGTCAAAGCCTCGTGCTGCGGACTCTCTCGCTAACTCTCTCTCTCTCTCTCGCACCGTCACCTCTCATTGGCCAGTGTTTTTCGTTAATAACTCGTAAACAAAGCCGCGGATTGCATTTTCGCAAAGGAAAAAGTTACTTCAAATGACCTCAGCTACCCCTCATTTTGGGCTGTTAAAATAATCGTGGAACACCCTGTATACAATAATATTACATTCATATTGTTACGGCGACTTGTCCAAATCAAGTCGCTGTAATGTGAAACTGCCCTGTTGTGAACAACTCCTTAAAGAATAATAGAAGAGAGGGGTTGCCACGGAGGTGTGTTAACATCCTACTTCTGAAAGATCTGAATTGTTATTGTATCGAATTGTGTTATAGTTAATATTCTTTATTGTAAATATAAAATGCCGCGACGCGAGAGAAATGGTGTAATTCACAACAATATAAATAATTTGAAAATACTATTACACACAATAGTACTTTAAATTGTATTTGTATTATATTCTATTATATTTAAATAATATACTATATTATATAAAATACTATATATATACTATTTAACCCAGTTCAGTGCTTATTCCTCGATTTTTATGTCATCAATTCGCAAGAACTATGCCGATCGCCCACGTTAAATTCGTATTTCAAAAGTAACAAGATCAATTATTTATCGTTTCGATGGATTTTTTGAAGGAAGGAACCGATCGGGACAAGGATCAGCGACGACGCTCGCGATGATTCAAATTCCATCGCGATACGTAAACTAGTTCATGATCGGTTCACTTTCGAAACGGAATCCAATTGTTTCGATAAGCCCGCATGACTCGCGGCAATGAAAACACTGGGGTGATACACGTAATCTCTGCGCCCGCTTTATCGAACGAACGGCTCCACTACTGACACGTTCGCTCGTCGCCCGACGGCCTAGCGACTTTCTATCTGCGCAAATCCTACGTAAACAATTTAAAGATCGATAACACTGTTTAAAGTTGGAGAATCGATCGTTCGGTTTCTAGAAACATGGATTTTTTATTTGATTTCTAGAACGGAACCGGACTTTGTCCGCTCGTTCGTCACTCTCTTGCAGTAATAATTCGTAAACAAAACCGTGAATCGCCTCAGAAACCCGCCATTTTCGGATCGCGAGACACTTTTCGGACACCCTGTATATCGATCTAAATGCGTTATAATTAACGGAGACTGCCGAACGTCCGAACACAGCGAGAAATACAGCAAATTTTCTCCGATTGTCACTATTATTTCTAATAAATATTTAGAAATATAATACTAATTTGTTTATTAAAGAAACGAATCCGACCGGATTGTTACAACAAACAAGACTATTTCTAGATCACTTCGCGCGATCATCAGCTTCTTTTCGCAGCCTAACGGCTCTCCGTTCCTCCAACTGCTTCCGCAGGGCATCCACTTCCGGCGAAGCGACTGCTGCCTATTACAGCGGTTTGGACGGGGCAGGGTTGTTTCGCCTGGAAAACGAATAGAAATTCAATTCTTTAGAATATGTTATCTAAGATCTTTAAACTATGATATTTCAAATCTTTAGAATATGATATCTAAATTCTTCACAATATGATATCTCAGTTCTTTAGAATATGATATTTCATTTCCTTTGATAATATCTCAATTCTTTAGAATATGATATCTAAGTTCTTTACAATATGATACGTCAATTCTTTAGAATATTGCATTTGAATTCGACGCAGAGAATTAGTCCTAGTAGCTTTTTTATTTTTGAAACCGTCGCTGCAGTAAATTAAAGTAAATTCTATCTAATTGACGCTCGAATTGTCCACAAAAATGAACGATTCGGGAAGAGGAGGCACGATTATTCGAAGTCTTGAGGCTTGTTTTTATAATCGTTGACGATCTAAATAACTAAATACCGAGACAAGGTCTAGGCAGAATCGTTAACAATTAAAATAGTTAAAAAAATATTTAAAAGATACATTTTTATACTTCGTCTTTGTTTTCATTGCGAACATTTCAAAAATTACAACTTGCGCTGAGAATAGAATGTAATTTAAGCTGTCAGATTTATTTGCATACATCTCGGTAATCTCGATAATTTTCGCATTTCTCACTAATTAGGAACAATTATTATCTTCCAGCGCCTTTCGAGTGTCCTTAATCATAGTCTTCTGCCTCTCGCGTTCCCGACTCACGATGCATTTCCGATTCTCGATTTCCTCGTTCAGTTTCATTTTCATCCAAAACAATCTCTCCTTCAACTGTACAATAATAACAATAATAATAATTTTTCTTTTTCTTTTTAATCTTACCCATTAAAAATCCCCCCCCCCTGCCCCTTTAAACGGCGTTACCCCACCCCAGAACTGTTTTATCCATTACATTAATAATAGTAAAAAGAAGAAGAAAATAATACAAACAATAAAAATAATAATAATAATAATAGTAATAATGATAAGAAGGAGAAGAAGAAAATAATAACACTAATAATAATAATAATAATAATAATAATAATAATAATAATAATGATAAGTAACAGATTAAGAAGAAAATGATTCGTCGCGGATTAAGAAAAATCGGTTAGACCTCCGCCAGCGACATTTCGCAGAGCAGACCCAAGCCACTGGATTCCGTCGGGTCGAAGTCCTTGTAGGGCAAGGTTCGCAATGACTGTATAGTTTTTATTTCCTGAATGAGTCTGATCTTTTTCTGCATCTCCTCTTCCTTTTGTTTCGCCAGCTGAGCCTTCAATTGCCCGGATTCTTCGGAAACCTGGGCGGCTAATTAATAAATACGCAATCCGTTTACATTTGATTCCCAAAAACTGAACAACCGGATACAATCCGTTTTGAACAGGGATTTTGATGAAACTGAACTACAATTTCTCGTATTACCGTGACGTTCTTAACGTTCTTATCGAACTGCGGATTTTAACGCAGAAAATATCGTCGAAAATTTCGCAAAAAAGAAGAAGTTTCTCATATCACCTGCATTTATCGTAAATGCATCAAATTCGAATGAACCGAGAATCCATATATTGAATATAATAATTACGGAGAATATAAAAAAATAATATATATATATTATATATAATACATATATAATATATGTAATACATATAATATATATGTATATTATAAGAAGAAGAATATAGAATAATTCTCACAATTTTATAGTTTACATGTGAATAAACGTTTCAACGCTTGCGAAAGTTTTTTTAAATTGTTATAATAAATAATAACACACCTTTCTGTCGTTTCTCGTCGATCATAGCATCGAAAGCGTCCCGGAAATTTTGTTCGACTATGCGACATCGTTCGACAACTTCGGCCATTTCCTTGTTATGTTTCTCCTTCCATTTTTCCAGCTTCTCCGACAATTCTTGTTTCTGCGAACGATTCGTGAAAATCCCAATTTAAATCTCAATTCTTTAGAATATGATAACCCAATTCTTTACAATAAGATATTTCAATTCTTTAGAAGATGATAACTCAATTCTTTAAAATATATTACAATTCTTTAGAATATGCTACTTCAATTCTTTAGAATATAATATCTCAATTCTTTATAACATGATATTTCAATTCTTTAGAATATAATATCTCAATTCTTTATAATATGATACTTCTCCATTCTTTAGAATATAATATCTCAATTCTTTACAATATGATATTTCAATTCTTTAGAAAATGATATCATAATTCATTAGAATATGATATTTCAATTCTTTAGAATATAATATCTCAATTCTTTATAATATGATACTTCTCCATTCTTTAGAATATAATATCTCAATTCTTTACAATATGATATTTCAATTCTTTAGAAAATGATATCATAATTCATTAGAATATGATATTTCAATTCTTTAGAATATAATATCTCAATTCTTTATAATATGATACTTCTCCATTCTTTAGAATATAATATCTCAATTCTTTACAATATGATATTTCAATTCTTTAGAAAATGATATCATAATTCATTAGAATATGATATTTCAATTCTTTAGAATATAATATCTCAATTCTTTATAATATGATATTTCTCCATTCTTTAGAATATAATATCTCAATTCTTTA